CGCGAGCTCATTACCCTTCGGTCGCCGTGGGCGGGGAGGGGCGGGGGCGGCTGCGTCCCAGCGCCTGCCGCATCGACCACGCCGTCGGTGGTAATTACGCGTCGTATGACAGACGCATGCACGCCGGCCCACCGCGCCTCGGCCTCGTAATAGGCCCCGCCGCTCCGCCATCGGAGCTATCTCGCTTGTTCTTGCCCTGTATGATTAAAGCTCTGTGCCGTGTTGCCATCACCAATTGCTTCGTTACGACTGATGACCGATATTGTAGCCTGTATATTCTTCCCTTAGCACATCAGCCACCTCCAGGAGCGTGGGATTTCAAACGAAACACACGTTTTGCGTGAGAGAATGTGTTATGTTCATATCATCTTTTTTTCGCTTTCATTTCGCTTTGTGGGTTTCAAGGTAAAATACTTATCGTACTTTCTACTGTTTCTTTGTTTTCCACAATTTTATTACTGACATAAAATTAATAATGTTGCTGTACAATAAATGCCTACGAGGACATCTGCCAAAGAAAGAAACATTTTCTTTGGTAACATCGACACATAACTTGGGCATTATATTCGTGGGCGCTTCATAAGTCAAGTGCGAAATGCATTTCGGACTAATGAGTATAGAGTGGAAACGTATAATCTTAGCATGCTCCAGTACAATATTCACAGTGAATTTTTTGACAGTTCAGTGACTTTTGGACTTAGTAAACTTGAAAACAGCGTATCCTTAACGACAATTAGGCTGATTTTTGAGGTCCAAAGCTTCTATTTATGTTTTTTACACCATAATCTACAAAATGAGATCGTTTGGGACTTTCTATTACTTCCATTCCGTGAATTCGACTCTTTTGGGGAGCCCATCATACGTACGAGGCGTGCAGCGACGCACATTTAGAGACAAAAAGAGTCTAACACTTCGCACAGACACATTTTTATCTTCATACGGATCTGGGGTAAAAGGTAAGTTTCCACATTCATGACCTCTCGCAACAACGCTACTATCTTGTATTACAACATAATATATTACATTTCGTCTATGCATTATTACGATGACGATTTCGCTATTAGAAACTACGAAATTCAAGAACTGCGATTGTAGGATCTCATGTAACGAACACATGCCAGCATATCGTTAATGGAGATCCTGTTCTCTTTTTCTACATGTCGTTTGTGCTCAGTGACATGTAGCTACTAGAGTTTGCAATTAGGAGGGGGCGTATTTGCGCACATGTAAACTTGTTTAGCGAATGATATCAACTTGTATTATCTGAATAGAATACACCACACAACTTGTGTGAAAAGGGCAATTGAAACAATCTGAATTTGAAGTCCAATATTCCGTCTCGGTTAAGTAGCAACGCTCAAACCCATCATGCAACCTCCTCGCGGCGATTGAGAGCCGATTGGAAAGGCAGCGCGGCGAGGCTTCGCGTAAGATTCGTAAGATAGAAAGATTTGCAAACTGCAGCCATTATTCTGACGTTCCACCATCAGCATTGTTAGATCAATGTTTTTCTGATGTAAAACCACTGTAGCCGCCTTGGGAGTACAGCTATTGCATGCAATGTGTTTGAAGGAAGTTTCGTAGTTTTAACTCAATAGACATCAGTAGTTTTCTTTACATAGTTGTAGAACACAAGCAAATGATAACCAGAAGTGCGTAAACGGCGGACAACAAGTGGGCGTCATCGCACACGAACGTATTACTTGCAAGGCAATCCTGAAGTGGGCATGGCATACGTGTTACGAGTAGTCAGAAAACGGATGCCAGAGAGTGCAGGCGAGCACGGGCACCTCGTGCCCGAGAGGGCGTAGAAGTTCGCCTTACAGCTCACATATAGAGGGGAAGTGAAGCTTTACCCATACTATCTTTTTTTTTTTTTTTTTCTTTTTTTTTTTTTTTTTTTTTTTTTGTTTTAAAAGCATTTGGCGCTTACGTGATTGATTACAGATATACTGTGCGCGCTCAGAATTACAGATGTGCCGTGTGTTACGATAAGTCTGGAGACGTGCCTTCCTCGCGCTGAACCGTACTATGAAGTGAATCTACCAATTGTGATCGTCCGTCCATTTTCAGTGCCCGCCCAGACTGCCTCGACGAAGGGACGAGTGGGTTGAGTGGGTACGAGAGCCGATTGCGGACATGATGGCGGTGGTTAAAAGATGGTCACGTCACTGCAGCCTATGGGGGTGGCACAATTGAACTCGAAGGTATTAAACGGCGTCCATAGTACCCGAAGCGCTAGGCGGAGACCCATGCTGAACACAGGGATGAGGGTTTGATATTCGGAACAGTTATCAATAAAAAGTTTAAGCGCAAATAAATGGGTTTCTTCTATGTAGTGAGTCACAATCACGAGATCTCAGTAATCGTCTGATCTGCAAACACTCACTTAAAGGCTCCGGAAAGCTATGGTTTTTCGTGCGTTTTTCAATATTCCTGGTGGAGTTTGTTCGCAAATCATTCATCACTATTCGTATAGGTATTTCCATACAATCGTGTCATAACGGCTTTTGCTCTATATACTTAACGAAAACGTCGCTATGGTTTGATCTCAGGTGAAGAGAGAATACGAAAAGATTGTAAACAAACAGTCCTGCCATTCATCTACTCATTCACTTAAAAGTCATGGGTTTGTAAAACGTTTTGCGTAAAACTAATTCAATTCATGCTATAGAAAGTTGAGATGGATGTTTCATGATATGAATAGTTGTCACTATTGTTGTCATTAGTATTTATTTTAGTAAAACAGCCTGTTTCTGCTTCTAATTTTTGTCACAATTGAATTTTTTTCATGCAGGTGCCACACTCACGTGTCAATCCTGTAATGGTAATATTTAAGAAAACTCCCGTCTTGTCAGTGTGTGCGCGGTTCACGGCAAATCACGAAGTATGTTAAAGTATATTAAATTGAATTTATTGTTTTTTTTCCGTTCTTTTTCAAAGTAATGTTGCTCTCTATAAAAATTTATCATTGAATAAGATGATCCCTCTTATAGCTTTATCACACACGCCCGTTACATTCAACCCGCTGAGAGCGTAGGCTCCGCGGCCGGAGTCAGTATTACGAGGCTCCCGGCGTGACGCCGCGTCCATGGCGAAGGTGCCGACGTGTTCGGTCGCCATTCTGCGACCCTTCCTCAGGGAAGGAGGTGATGAGTAAGGTCGGCAGAATGGCGACCGAAACTCGGCACTTCGCCATGGACGCGGCGTCACCCGGACAGCCTAGTAAATACATTCAACCCTAGCACCAGCCTTCGAACGAGCGTTTAAACGCGCCCCAGTGAAATTTGCAAACTGCAAAACACTACACTCACTCGGCCTGCTTGCCCGTCACAGTCCCATTAATTCACATTAAGGTGTGGGCACTACTGGCTCCCTCGGCGCGGCCGGACGCCCGCCCCGCCAGGCGCGCTCGGATGCTGCGGCGGCGCAGTCGCCCGC